TTTTTAAGGGGAGGGCCCATCACAGTAGCTTGCTGCTGGGGTCCTCGCGCGTCGCCATTGCGTTGCACTACCGCATTGGCCTGGCGCACCCCTCAAACTCTAGTTCAACCTTTCGGATTAATTATTTTATACAAATTAATTAAATTTAAGACAAGATGGTTGGTATCTAATTTTTTTATTTAAAATTAAAAATCCATATGGAATGAATTCGAAGGCTGCAACCTGCGGGATTTTGAATTTAGTGAGGCAGTAAATTATATATTAATCCTTCTAGATTGATAAATTTAATAATGTCTTTTATGTTTCTAAAAATAACTATTTATTTTTTTATAAGCATCAATTAGAAAATAACTGTTTAATGCAATATATTTTATTCTACAAATTTTTTTTTCTTCATCAATATTTTTATGATGTAAATTTATTTTTTTAATTTTTTTTAAAAAAAGACAAATAAATTAAAAAATAACATAAAATTAAAAAAAGATTAAATAATAAGTTTTTAAAACAAGAAGAATCAATTTTTCAAACTAAAATGACTAATTTATAATTTACTTAATTAAAGCCTGCATTTGCTTTGCAGGCTTTGGAATTGTGCAAGCGACAGTTCAAGACAGAAGCAGAATAATAAAGAGTAAATTATACATCAGTTCCTCTAGTTCAATAAATAAATTAATTAATCCTTAACCTTAGTTCCTCTGGTTCAATAAATAAATAAATTAATCCTTAATGTTTTAAAAACTAATTATTTAAGTTTTTAATCAGTATTGATCATGTTTAATATAATATATTTTATTTCATAATTTTTTCATCAATCTTTTCATTGTATAAATTTTTTTCTTTTTAAATTAGACAACAATATAAAATTAACCAAAAAAAAAAGTAAATTATTGGTTGATGAAATAAAGAGAACTAACTAAATTATTTTTTCAAAATAAAAGGACTTACTTTTAATATATTCAATAAAACTATCAAAGCCTGCAAATATTCTTATTCTCTAAATTAATCACATTGCAAGCTGGTCTTTGTCATTTTGGTCTTGTCTCGGTCTCTAACTGAATTTTAGCCGTTGACTTTTTTTTTAAAAAATAAATTTTGTGTAACAACATTATATGACAAAAAATAATGACCTTATATAACGATAACATCATTATTTATCATTATATACGTGAAACGATATCGGGACACCTATAATACTAAATAACGAGTAGTAACGGGAACAACCATTATTTTATATAACGATTGTTTTTTAAAATTATGGTCCTCACTTCTATTGGTCGGGATGCTTTGCTCATTGTTTGGATCTAGCTTTAGAAGACATTGGAAAGAAATCCAAGATCAAAGAAGTGTTTAAGAAGGCAAATAATAATAATAATAATAATTTACCCAATTAATTTGTAATTATAATTGGGTAATTAATTATATGAAAAAATTTATTAACGAGGGTGACTTACTTCAGCTCGGCATCACCAAATTTGTTGCTTTGTAAGGCTTTTTTAGGTTTAAGAATACACTCAAGGACATGTAAAGGTTTATGAAAAAAGCTTGGAACAATTCTAGATATAGGAGAATGATAGATCGACTTGCTATTAATGTTCGCATATTAGTGTTGCAAGAAGACCCATAAGCAATAAGATTCTAGAAGAAGGTACGTGAAGTGATAGCCATCGAGGAGCCAATTTTAAAGGTTTTGAAATTTGTAGATGACAGTGACCATGGGGTTTATCCGCGAAGCATTGCAAAGAATGAAGTAAAAAATTCAAGCAAGTTGTGATATTACAAAATATGGTGCGACATAATTGATAAACGATGAGAATTTCAATTACATACGGACTTACATGCAATTGGTAAGTATACAAATTTACATAAATTAGTCGAACAATCTAAAAATATCTTTAATTATTATTATTCAAACCTAAATATCATTTATAAGTAATGTTATTCTTTTTGTTTTTGTAGGTTATTTTTTGAATCCTTAATATTAATATGTACCTCAAGATAATCTAATTTATCAAAATGAAAAAATCATGCAAGGTGTTAGAAGTGCAATTATGAGATTAGAACACGACATTGATAAGCAAATCAAAACCATCAATGAAGTAAGTTGAATAATCTTGTGAATTTTGATAACATAAGATGATAAAAAATATATAATATCATATGATATATATTAATGTATAATATTATTAATTATTTATTAACAATATATATATTTTAAAAAAATTTAAATATGCGAGTTGAAATTGTATAGGTTGAAAAAATAAATATTTGGCTTAACCATAGCTCATAAGGTCTGTGTATTCAACAAATCCAAGCACTTTATTAATTTATAAAAGTTCATACTACAAAAATTATTGGTGTTATTTATTTATTTTTAATTTGTGTAAATTCATTTATTTAATGTAGCCGAGTGATGAAATAGTTATGGAAATGATTCTCCAATACTTAGAAAGACCGTAATGTAGATTTTGCCTCAAACAATATTCGTTTCAAATTGTGAGAGAAATTGGAGCACTTTTAGATTAGTGTATTTGAAGATAAAAAACGAGGTTGAAGTATAAAAAATTACACACACTTGTTTATCTTCATTACAACACGAAGTCGAGGTTAAGAAATACATTACGGAAGAGTTAGAAAGATTTAGAAGAAAGCTTTAATCCAGGTTAATTTGGATTAAATGTTTTATGAAGATGATCCATTGTCCGCTTGGTTGAAGGAAAACAAACAACTCCTCCTCGATGGACAAAATATGGATTTGTTACATGTAAATGATGACAATAGTGATGAAGGAAATGATCAAAACAATCCTAATAATCAAGCTAATCAACATAATAATGATAATGATGGTGATCAAGATGTAGAATCTAGTGATCTAGGAGCTTCTCATAACAACAATAGCAATTGCAATGATGGAGGTTGTGGAATAGCTTTTGATAGCGAGTGTCAATCCAGTTTTATATAGGCATGGGTTACGTGGTCCTACTACTCCTAGATCCGATGCTAGAAATAAAGCACCAATAGTAGAACCACAATAATCTAATGGTACCATACTGCAAGATCAAAGACATAACTTTGTCTCTTCCAAAGATAGTTTGACTTCTAGCTTTAATTATGATCGGTGACAATACTACCATCCACAAGGTCTACAAGCATATGATTATGTACCTTATGATTCATATGGTATCTTATCAAACTAATCTATTTCAAATCCATAACATCCTTAAGATATTAGATCATGCATTGCTACTTCATTGTCTAGGCAATTGGATTTGAGAGGAGAACATATTTATGGTTATAATTTTGATGGACAAGGATCACAACATCAACAAGAAAATGATAACTATTATTATGATCCTCCAAGATGATCTTTTTGGAGATGAATATTTTGTAATGTGTATATTAAAATTATAATGTATTTTATTATTTTTTTATGTGATATTAATCTATTAGAGGTGTTATTAATTTTTTTTTAGTAATAAATTCAATTATTATTATATGATATTAAATTATTAGAGATGTTATTACTTATTAGTATGCTTAATTAGTAAAACTATTAAAAATATACAAATTAGAATAAATTTATTAACGATTTGCTAATGTATTTACGCTATCGATTATCATGATGTTATTTTACTAGCGCGATAAGCCGCATCCACGATGATGACCGCAACTGCTATTTAAAATTATGGTTAAGGATGTTAGTCATCACGGTGATCATTTGGTGGCTTAGCATATTCTGGTATATATTGTTCTAAAAGTGCTTACTTTTATGTATCCCTCTATGGTTATTGAGGTTTTTAATAATTATAGGTGGTAGAAATTGAAACTAGTAATATTCAAAATATCATTTGATTGCACAAGAAATATTGTATCATCAATTAACTTGTAAAGGTTGTGATGTGAATGACTCGAAACGAGGTTTTCTTATAATAATTTATCATTCAAGTAAATTTGCCATCTACCTTATCCCACTTTTCTGATTTTTTTGCACCTTGTTTTTGAGTTACTTGAATAGACTTAATTGTTCATTTTGTGAATTGGAGATACCTTCATTTGATTTGACATTGACCAATCATCTACTTTGTGATGTTTAAAAGTTTTTTCTACTTCGGACTCGAACAATTCTTGCAACGATCAATAGACTACAAAAGCCGATAAATTGCTTATTATCTATATTGTCTTGAATGCTGTAAATTTGCTCGAATTATTATATGATAAATATAAATGCGAGCTTTTTAATTGACTTTGAAATATGATAATGAAAATAGAATCCATAAATTTAAACATAAGAAACTAAACGAATAAAGCAAAAAGATAGAATAGAAAAATAAAAGACAATCACACAAAACAAATTTTATGTGATTTGATAAATTGTGTCTACTTTACAATTATACTAGAAGTTCTTATTAATATTTTTTAATTGGTAGCTATAAATATAAAAGCCATTATCCTATTATAGTGAGACTACCGAACTGACTCTATGTAGTGCACTAAACTACAATTATATCTACACCAATCTCTATATTTTAACACAACTAGAATGCAACTATTTTTTTTTTCAAATAATCATATTAATTTGGTTTTCCTCAAATTTGGTGAAAAAGTTTCTTTAGCTTAATACACACACATATATATATTTCTCATAACAAAGGGTGAATGAACGTCATGTTAAAATTTAAAAATATTGATTCAAACTTCTCAAATAAATAAATAAATAAAAAGAAAAGAAAACAATATTTGGTTCCACAATTTTGTTTCGTTATGCTTAATTAATAATACGAGTATTTTATTGATCTAAACGATGTCGTATAAGAAAACGCGGTAAACCAAATAACCGTTAAATTAAAAAGTCATCCCCGATCAATTAGCCATCACAAACTCATCTTCAAGATACCAAAAATATCTCCCGCTTCCCAAAATTTTCTTTCATTTTCTCTCACTCTTTCTCGGCAACCAAACATCAGTGAAGAGCTTCAATTCTCCTCTCTCTCATTTTCACAGCAATGAGCTTGCTTATAAACCACTGTGCCACTTACTATTGTGTCAACCAGAGGCGTAATTATGGTGAGTTCAAATTAGGTCATTTTATTATCTTCTAGCTTTACAAGATATTTGATATATTTGCCTAACTAGCAGGGAAACATAAGGTGCCAATCAGAATGAGTAGCAAATCCTCCAAAACTGACAGTCTTCAAGAAGATTTTGTATCTTTGTTGAAGAAAAATAGTAATTGCAGCCTTGGACTTAACACTATTGTCAGTTCTATTTCAGGTAAGTAACTAGTATGATTTTTTTTTAATTAAATTCATAACCTGATTTAATTATTGAATAAGATTATTTATTTATTTATTTAGAATATCTTAATTGTTTAAGTAGCATGTGAATTTAATCGAATTTCTTAATATTGAGAAGTTTTAAGGAATTTAGACGGTCATATCCCTGGTTTTCTTTTTTATTGATTTTGAGGTTCATAATTTTTTGTATGCTTGTAGGTGTGATGATAAACTTTTTTTTTTTCTTTGTACTTTCCAGTCGCAAATTTGGTGGCAATAGACACGGCAAAAGCTGTAACCATGGATAAAGTACTGGTAAGACTCCATAATATCTGTGTGCTTGAACTGCCCTCATGAGAAGGAGCCAAAGAGAAGCTTTTGATTCATATTTTGTTTAAGTCATTCATTCCTTGCTTTTATTGTGAACCAGTTAATTCCTCACAGCACTCAATTAGCCTTATTATTGATTTTTTTTTTTTACCTAATTCTATCTTTGCCATCGGTTGTTTTATTTTTGGAGTGTTTTACAGGTTACATTGCTTGTGTAAGCCAAGGAGTCTAATTTGTTTTTCCTTATGAGTTAGGAGGAGGCTGCTTCCGTTTATACTTTGGCTGATGGAAGCATTGGGGACTGGTTTGGAGGTTTCTTGTATTCAGCTGGACAACAAGCTAATGAAGCTGTTCAAGATCAGTTATCAGCCCTCAGTTTCACCAGGTTTGTCTCCACACTTTTTCCTTCAATTTGCAATCATATTTCTGAAAATTTTACTGCATTTTTTTATACAGTGTCGTTCACTGCTTATCCTGCTTTACAGTTTGGCAGTGATTTTTGGAGCAGGGCTTGTGACCAGCCTTTCTCCTTGTACATTAAGTGTTTTACCGTTGACCCTTGGGTACATTGGTAAGCATTTTGTTGGATGTAAATCTGGTGGCAAATGAACTTCTCTTACTATTGTGCATTATGCCATCACTGTTTTCCATCTCTTGTTAGCTCTGATGCTTGATTGTGGCCTTGTTTGGATCATGCAGGTGCATTTGGCTCTGGGAAAAGCAGGGCAGAGGTTATGACTTGTTAAATGAGTTATCTTCATTTTTATGTTTCCTTACTTTCTTATTTCACAAGAGTTCAAAATTGAAATTAGTTCAGAACTAAAGAATAAAATGGAAAGGTTAGAAAATATTTGGAGTTAAAATAGATGTGAAAGATTGTGTTGGCATTTTTACCACCAAGACTATACAAATTATGTTGTGTCAGGCTATGGTCCTTTTCTCTGAGCACTGAAAATTTGCAATGCAAAGATCTCTTTCTTTGTCTCTCACGGTCTTGTGCACAGACAGACATACACAGATAGTCAGATATGCACCCACACATATTTCATGCTCAAAGCCTCAAACATGTTTTTTGTCCTTGTGGTTAGATTGTTGGGGATTCTATTGCATTCGCTTTGGGATTGGCAACTACACTAGCTCTTCTAGGCATAGCAGCTTCGTTTGCTGGAAAGGCATATGGGCAGATAGGACAGGGATTGCCTTTGGTTGCTTCTGGTCTGGCCGTTATAATGGGTCTAAATCTACTTGAGGTGATGATATATTTTGATTGATGTTTGATTTATTCGCATGAGAAGTGTTAGGAATTGCCTTCGGCTGTTATGTTTGTCATTTCTGGCACTCTATGGTTTCTTCAGTGTTTCCAAGATAGCTTTTGTATGGTTCAGTTGCAAACTTGCAGTCAGACTTTCTATTATTTGACCGTTTATGATCTAATTCTCCCTTTTGTTTATGGGCTCATTTTGTGGTCATTGTGGCAGATAATTGAATTACAACTGCCTTCCTTTTTCAACAACTTTGATCCCCGTGCTGCTGCCGCTAATTTTCCATCAAGTAATTGGCCTTCTCAACTCTACGTAATTTCTCAACTATTCATTATCAGGGTGACCTGTGTTCTCTGTATATTCTTCAATGTTTTGAATAAGATGGAAGTATGAATTCTAGGTGTGCAAGCATATTTAGCTGGGCTTACATTTGCACTAGCAGCCTCACCTTGCAGTACACCTGTGCTGGCCACTTTGCTGGGATATGTTGCTGCATCTAAGGTATTCTAAAACTACCAGAGTTTCTCTGATTCCTATTGAGCTTAAGTTCTTTTAAGAGTGCAGATCAGACACATATGCATAAATGGACTACTTTGAACTTGCCGATCACAAAACATAAATGTTTGCCTTTTTGTTGGAAGAACCAATCTTGTGCTGTTGGGATTAGTTACTACAGTTATTTTATTTCATGTAAACTTCTTCATCCCCTAAAACTTATAAAAGGTCAGTGATATTATGTGAGAGCATTTGTTTTATGAAGAAGTATTTAATCACCATAACACCTAGAGGAAAGAAAGAGAGTTTTATGCTCGGTGCAAATTCCATTTTTTGGTTTGGAAAGTTGAAGGGCTTCTAGCAATGACTTTTTCAGTGGATGTTCATATTGAAATGATATATATATATATATATATATATATAAAAAGAGAGGAAAAACAATAGTGGAGTAATGAGTTAGTTATATTCACAGTAATATTTGGTGCACTGTATCCTGCTTTCATTTTCGGAGGTTCATTTTGTTTGTCGATAACAGGATCCAATAGTAGGGGGCAGTTTACTCTTGACATACACAACTGGCTATGTTGCTCCTCTACTTCTTGCAGCTTCTTTTGCTGGAGCATTGCAGGTACTTGATTTTCTAATGAGGATACAGTCATTATTTCAGTTAAATCAACATTATATTCAGCTGCGTGCTAGTGCCTGGAATCAGGTCAAATGCATAATTACTGTGACTTCTATTGTCAGTGGTGCCAGTAATAGCCTAGTACAGGGGTAACTTGGTTATTGGAGTTAGATTAATTTTACATCTTCTGTTTTGATTTTTCAATTTTATTTTTATAAAAATCTAACCTCTTAGTAACATTTGCAGAGCCTGCTGTCATTCCGCAAGTTCTCAGCATGGATCAATCCAATGAGGTATTATTAGAGAATCTGTAATGCCTTTGAATTTTATGACTGGCAACGACTGCTTCGTACCTCCATAATCCATCACTTTATTTACAATTTTGATGGTACATATGGTCATGTTGATTGGTCTATCGTCATCTGGGACTGACACCATTGTGTGGCCATCATATGTAGTTTTGTCTAGTTTGTATGTCATAAGTTTTTTTTTTCAGGTCTTAGGTTCCTAGAGTCTCCTTTCTGATACATATTTGATTTGATTGATTTGCAGTGGTGCACTTTTGCTAGGAGGAGGTGTGTACACTTTCTTGGATAGGCTCTTTCCACTCACGATGGTAATGTAGATCTACCATCCTCAGGCTCTGCATACACTTGCTATACAATATATAGAAAAGGATCAATGAATATTATGCAAACGGGGAACTGCAGGAAGTCTTTTCCAGTTTTTCCCATAAGAAATAGTGTGAAGTCAATCCACTAAAGAATAAAGTTGATGGATGATCCGTTTCAGGACTTTGCTAGACATACATGTGGGCACGTATTTTTTATTTTATCATGAAATCTAATACTTTGCTAGACAAGCCTTGTCACCTGTCGTGGTGGGTTCAAATTGAGTGAATGAATCGGTGACGTGACAAGCTGTTATTGGCTAAAGTTGGCCACGTGTGCTTACGTGGCACATTAGGATCTGAAACAATAATATAAGAGTTGAACTCTTGAATTAGACAAAAAGAACTTAAGATTTCAATTAAAAAAATTCAAATTTTACGGGTCTCGATATGTGCAAAATAAATAAAAATACGACATATGGGAGCTGGAACACCATTATTTATCTCTCTCGAAATTAATTAATTAAATAGTTATTTTTATTAGATTCATCTAATTCTTTTATCATTGTATACTCTTAACAATTTGGGAAAATGTTCAACGTTGGATCATTTTTAAATACATATGTTATGGTATCTTCTTCACCACTCGTCAAATGAACTCAAATCTTGACAGACGACATCAGCTATTTAAAGTCAAGAGAACTAAACAATGCCATGAAATTTATTGGTAGAACTTTCATGAGGATGTTGAAGGCAGAGCCTCTTCATATTTCCAGTTAGATGGAAACAGCTGCCGTTTGAATCTCAACCAAATGGAGCAATCCTCATATGTCCAATTTTTTTTTTTTTTGGTTACAAAACTCTTTTTCGAGGGTGTCATTGCTAAGTGCAGGATTAAATATTCAGCCAGGTTAAGTTATAACTATTAATTAAGGGTATTAATTAGATTTAAACAATAAATAATAAAGGGTATAATAGTTAATATATAAAGCTTGTGGCTAGGGATATCAATGGACCGGATATCAAACGGATATCCTTTTTATCCTACCCAATAAATATATATTAATAATGTCCAATGGATATTAAAGTGGATAAGAATGAAAAAATACATACCTACTAATATGATTTCAGTATATGAGTACCTACTCTTTATCCTTTTCATACCTACTAATTTATTTAGATTTTTTTTTTATTGATAAATAGGGATCTAGTTTCATAAAATTTAAAAGTAAGGATCAAAATTTTTTTTTTCAAAAACTTGAGGACCAAAAAACTTATAAATAAATTACCAAAATTAAAAAAATTAAGAACCAAAAAATAATAAGGACTAAAATGAATATTTTTGATAAATTAAATTTAACAGGTATTAAATGGACAGATAAACTAATATGGACCGGATATTAAATGAGTAAAAATTTATATGATGATTTTTTAATAGATAATGAATAAGATATTTTTTTATGGATAAGACAACAAATGAAATTGAAAGGACCGAGTTAGTGCCATCCCTATTGTGGCTTTATTTATAATCAATTTGTGTTTTTTTTTTAAAAAAAACATTTAGCTAAAAAGATATTTACTTTCTCCAAAAGAAAACGAAAATTTTTATTAAATGTTCGACCATCAATTATTGAATTTCCTTTTCAGTTTCATTCAGTTCGTATACTGGGGGATAGCCTTTATTTTCTAATACGGCACGATGTTTTTACTTGCTGAACCCCTAAAATTCTTGCTTTGGTATTATTTTTATCTTTTTTTTATTCTAGTAAAAGTTAATAAAAAATTATTTTAAAATCTTATTTAATAACTTAAATTTTTGAATGATATACAAATGATTTTTTTTTAATTTGATATTAAAATTACTTGATTAAAGAGTTAAAATTTCGAATTCTACCATATTATTCTTCTAATTTCTATTATATCAGATTCTTGGTCAGTCAAGTTAAATTAATTAGAAGAACGATATGAATAAAATCTAGGTGAAATGTGGTTTCACCAAGATATGGCAAGGCACTTGTATAATGGAGTACATCATGCCCCTAAGCCGTTGAAGTCATGGAAGGTTGGAAAGCAAAAGGACATTATGGTTTAGCTAGCTAGCTCGCAAACGGTGCAGAGGTTACTCCAATTTTGGCAATACCATAATAAATATGAATGAGTCAGCAATGAAATGGATAAGATCAGCGGCCGAGTCGTACTCATGAACTGAACTGAGCAAGCAAGGAACTCGATGAACACATAAAGACAAATTTTATAATACATAAAAAATAATTAATGATATATATAGTTGTTATTTTTTAAGTTTATTTTAAAAAAAGATATAGACAAAAAAAAAAAATAGAAAAAAATAAAAAAATTTGAGCGGACGTGGAAATCTTTATATTACTTTTGATGAGTATAAATATAATTTTTTTTTTTTTTTTATCTCTCTCTTCAGAATTGATCTAAAAAATAACAATCTGTATACGTCACTCAGTTACTCTCCTTGTATATTATAAAATTTTCTCAGAAAAAAGGCATCTAACCATAGCAATATATAGAAAGCCACACAGAAAAGGCTGTGTGGTAAGCATTTTCATAAACGGAACGTTAAGCATCAGACACTGCCACGGCTAGACGACAGGGTGCTGGTCTATCTTTAGTTCTGCCAATGTTGTCCTGCATAATTAATTAGTTCCACATGGCTTCGTTGAGCTTTACTATGTTGCTTCTGATAAAATTGACAAAGGATGCAAGACTTTTTCATTGAGATGATAGACTTGTGGCTCGGCCGGTGGCCAGATCGGAGACTACCAAATCTAAGTGAAACAAAAGGCTAACAGGAGAAAAACCATCTGTCACATTTCTGAAGCTTTGTTTTAATTTGGCTTGATAGTTAATATACCAAACCAACCTACAGAATCCTCTGATGCCGGCCACCTAATTCCTACAGAAATCGTTCTTCATATATTATTCTCTTCTCATTGATACCTCCAAATTAATTTTGTTTAGATTTTATTTTCAATTTCTTCTTTAGATTTTAACAAATACTTGAATTATGAGATTTTTTTCGTTTCATGACCCGTTTGTCACATCATGTTCATCAAAACCGTTCAACAGTTCCCACTTATTTTGTACCAAAACTATTAAAAAGAATATTTGAAACCTAAAATATTTTAACACTTGGAACCTTCCCTAAGGTTTTGAATATTGGCGAAAACGTGGATTTTTTTGAGTGATATTTGATAGTTTCCTTGAATTAGAATAATACAGAGGTCTTAATCAAAATACCTTATTGTTCAAGTATTGAAATAGAATTTTAAAAACTAGTTCAAAAGATGTCGAGCAAAAGAATTAGGTCAATGGGTGAATTGGTGTCAAATTGCACCTTTAACCACACAAGATTGCATTTTTTTTTCCATCTTAACCTCGTTCTTCCACTTTTTTTTTTTACTGAATTTAAATAAATAAAATTTTAAAAATAAAGAACAATGAAAATATATTCCGCCATTCTCTTCAAAAAAAAAAAAAATTACGAAGATAAAAATATTTTTTTATCTAAAATATTCTTTATGTTAAATTTATCTCTATAATAGTAAACAAATTTCAAAAATAAAAATAAAATATTTATAGTATTTTTTTAAATATCAAGAGAATTTTAGTTAAATTTTTAAATGTTTAAATGATATTTATAATTTTATAATACTTCAAAAGAATTTATTATAATTTATTCATTTTTATTTTTAAACTTTTTTTTTCAAACTTCATTTATTTAAATTCAGTAAAAAAAAAAACAGTAAAATGATGAGATTTATATGAAGAAAAACAATACGTGTTGCAATTCTGTAACGATACAATTTAACATCGTTATTCTAAAAAATTAACAGATGAACAAACTTAAAACAAAACCAAATATATATATAAAAAAAGAATACGATAAAAACGGAAGAGACAAAAAATAGAATTGTATCCATGCAATTATCAACATGAAAAGAATTATATGTAATTCAGGAGAATTTTATAGGATCATGCGTTGATGGATAACTCATTTAGCTTTGCAGGAAAGGACCCATTCAAATTCTACAATTTCTTATGGCAGAGCTAGCTATATTTAGTAAGGTAGCACTTAAAAAACCACATTGGCACAATTATGTTTTTATGGATCCTCCTTGAAAACCAAAGACACTGGTCACACTAACTTCTTACCAAAGTCAACCGATTATCAAAACATTTCTATCAAACATTTATAGAAATCGTGAACCTTTTATACCTGGGTTTTTATGCATCCAATCCAATTTTTCCACGCCTATTTCTCCAGTTTGATTAGAAACAAACTATATTCGTCGAAGCTAAATGGTTCATGAAAGTTTATCCCTAAGATATTAATTTTGACAGTATAGGAAGAAGCACATGTCCCTAACTATCTAAGCTATCCACTCGCATTATAGTAAATAAAAAAAAAAATACACACTTAATTTAGCTTCCTCATTAGTTTCATGTTCCGTTATACCGTGTTGTAGACAAATTTATAAAATATGTTTTAATATCTTAATTAATTATGAAAATCTAGGCGAATAATTAAAGTTCTGTAATTCAATTATTGTAATATTTAATATGATGTGTATTTTTATTTTGAATTTAAATATATTTTATAAATATATTTGATTTTAATAAATAAAAAAGCAAACATTTAATAAATTATTTATGTCACCTAAAAATCCAATGAAATGAATAAATAGTTGAAAGAAATCAATCGACAATGAAAGAGTCCTCGAGTAATTTACATAGTAATTTACATTGAAAGGATGCTTAATTTCAATAAATGAGTCCGTATTAACAGTTGATTAAAAAGCTCCATTATTCTATACTTGATAGTCCTTTTTTTTCTCAACATAATTTTGAACATTAATTTCTATTATTTAGAATATAATATAAATTTACATAAAAAAAAATGAAAAGATCAAATAATGAATTATTTGATGAGTCAATGTCACTCAAATATATATATATATATATATATATATATAAACAACTACTTGAAAAGAATAAAGAATCACATTTTTAATACATGTTGATGAATTATATATAATCAATTTTAAAGTAAGACATAATTAGCCAAAAAATAATATAAACTTAAAACAATAAATTATTAACTATTACATTTATTAATAGGTAAGAAATGAGTATCCATACATTAAAATTATATTAACGGATATGTATTGTTTTTATCTTTACTTATTTTAATATTCATTGGATGTTTTTAATATGTATTTATCAAGTCGAATAAGACGAATATCCCTTTTACATCCGGCTTATTGTCATTCCTACGTCAACAACCATTTTCTACACTAATCTCCAAAACACTTTAGGATCATACCAAAAACGATTAGAAATATATTAAATCTCAAAACATGCTTAAATCTACTCTAAGAATATAAAATATCAAATCAAATTCAAATTCAAAGAACCAATTTTCTCTTCGGGACTTGATCTTTTCTTGCCAACCACTTGAAATACCAAAACCATCATAAATAAACTTTTATAGTTGAAATGAACGCATCAACATCAATATTATTAGATTACTTATTCGAATAGCAGCTTGCCAAAGATTTCTCTCGCCTTCTTTTCCATTCCTCTACATTCATTAACCTAAGTTTAACTCAAATAAAGTTGGGAAATTATTTCGTGCAAATCTTAAACTAAAAAGACTAAAATTAAAAAAAAAAAATCAAAAAATCACTTGAGATTTTTAAGAAAACGAAGTCAAGATTGAAAAAAAAAAAAAAAAAGGACCAATACATCCTATGAACTAATGAATTAATAAAGAATTAGTACGTATAATATAAGAATTTATAACCAACTCATCTCATCATTTGGATCTGGATGCTCTAAACCACTCCATTTTTTAAGGAGTAAATTAAAAATTCAGTCTTTGTGATAAATGAGTCTTTTTAGTTTTATAATACTAATTGAATAGTCTCTTTGGTTTTAAAAATTAATTAATCAATCTTTTTCTTTCGTTTCATGTATTTTCTAATTTACTATTTTTTTTAAGAAATAAAAAAAGCACAAAAATAATTAGATATCATAGAAAGATTTAAAAGAAAAATGTAGATTACCATTTAAAAATAATAATATACTGGGCTTAAGCTAGAGTTATACATCGTTATTTTGTAGCATTCGTAACTGGCATCTAATCTGTCTCTTCCCGTAATCCATTCGATAGTTTCTCCTCCTTCACCTACTTTGGACGGGTCCTTAAAATCTTCTCCTCTCTGTTCCTCTCTTTTCACCTTGATTTCGAATCTCTTTTATCCAAGAGAACGTTGTAAATAATTACCAAACAAAATCTAATAAGCTCCACCACCAATCATCTCTTGATATTGATTCAAAGACGCCTGCCTCTGCAACCTCATTTCCTCATTAAACTTCTTTATAAACGCTTCAACTCGCTTGTTCAACTCGTCCTGACTCAATGAAGGTTCCCGCCTGAGTTTCCCTGACCCTTGCGGGCTCCGAGCAAGCTTCTCCGACCTGCCGCTATCATTAAATGTCTCAGCTTTCTTCATCAGTTTTGGCGGTGGGGTGCTGTCGCGGCGCACGTGTGATTCCCACGTGTCGGATTTTTTAAGGTGTCTGGTCAACGGCATAGGACGGCCATCCGTTATTGTCTTCCACGTGCTCTCCAGCGTGTCGTGCCGTTTTGGTTTTGACACTCCCAATGCTGCTGCCTTCCCACAACCTAAAACATTACCAAAACCAACTTTTAGAAATCAACGATTCCACTTACAGTTACAGATCGTCTAAATGTTTAACTCTGCTTAATGTTTTGAATAATCATGTTTGATTAGAAGAGAGATTACAAGTAAAATAATTAAGTCTTGTGAATGCAAGAAACGACAGACATTGGCTCTTCCAACATCCACTAATGTGTATTGTGCTTGTAATTGGTGCAACTCCACTGTTTATTTGCTAAGGGTGAAATTCATTTACTATCTAATATTATTTATTTTAAGTTTTCTATCTAGAAAAGTGTAAAATAAATAAGATATTATTAAACGTTAGAATTAACCAGTTATTTTATCAATCTTTTTTTAAACCATGTATCAGCACGAATTGACGTATCATTATATAATTAATTGATTAAAAATTAGACATAAAAAAACTGATTTATTCCTACATTGAAAAAAATACAAAAGTTCATTTTGTACCATGGCGGGATAAAAGAGTTAAATGGAATTTCATCCAATTTGCCAGTAATTTATAAAGCAAATCGCACTCAATTTTTTGTTTCTCCGCATGAATTAACACGAAGAATTTAGTTACCTTCAGTATTTGCTTTCAAAGATTTCCTGCGACCTAATCTTGAAGAAACCAATGGTTGCTGTTTCTTTTCATCTTTCTCAGACAAAAACTCCATAGAATCACTACTAGATGGGGCTGCCTTATACTCTTCCCTTTCATATACTTTGCCACCATCCTCCATAATCACAGCCTTCTCCTCCACTTCCAAATCTTGATAAGTACCTGCATATTGATCCCTTGCAGCAACAACAGAATCATTAACATAATCAATCCTTGCGCGAACAGAGATATTCTCCTCCTCCGCGACCTGCACTGGAGGGGCAATAATATCCACTGGTGGCGAGGGTACTTGTTGTTCTTGATTTTGTTTTTGAAGCTGAAGCTTGGAAGAGGCAACAATAGAGATGATTATGCAGTTGATGACCAAGTAAAGATAAGGTGGCTGAAGCCAAGAAAGAACGGAGGAATACATGTTAGGTAGTTCAGAGACTGCAAAATCTGTTACCACTGGAAGTACTGATAGCTTTAACATCACTGCTAAAGATAATACACCAGTTGATATCAAACCCACTTTGACAGAGAGCATTAGATTTCCAGAACTTGACGCTGGAAGCACCATTATTTTTTCACTTAAAAGAGAGCTCAACAATCAAGATTGTTCAAGATCCTCAGGTTCTTAGTGCAGAATGCAGAGAGAGAGAGAGAGAGAGAGAAGGGGTGAGAGTGAGAAATTGCTAGTAGAGAGAGTGGGGAAATGGAAGGTGTATATATATACGGGTTGGAGTTGCAGAGAACTTGTGGTGAAATTTGAACCGTAGGATGAAAGTAGGACATGGCAGGATAAGAGTTCAAGGAGCCTTGGTGTGGGGCCCGATATTAACCCACCTTTGATGAGAGTGAGGTCAGAAGGGGTCGAGTTGGATTTGCTTACATGTCACCATTTGAAATGTGGTATCCTCCATGCATTTACAATTGGACATTTGTTATTTGTTTTCTGATAAGAGTTTATCCATATAGGATTTTTCAGGTATTTAATTTGGAACTGATTACCCATATTAAAAAAGATGATATTTTCGTGCACAATGTAGGATGATATATATATATATATTTTTTACAATAATTGAAACTTGTTATCTCAGCATAGTTTGAATCACCAATCATGTTACAAGTCAATATAAAAAAAATTCTTTATTTATAGAAAAACGTAAGTCTATTTATCATATATAATAAACAAAAAAAAAAGACATTTTAACTAACTTTTTTTATAACCACCATAATCATTTAGTTGTGATTTACAATTCAGCAATCTTTTGGTTAATTATATCAAAAGAAAACATTATAAATTTCACATTTGTAAATGTTTCAAAAAAATGTAAAACAAATAATGCTTTTATAACAAGAACTTGATCCGCGCAGACTATATATACTCGTAAAACATGAATTGGCATGGTAGATGCCATTGTTACAATCTATTAGCTTTAGCAGACACAATTGATTAGTCTAATGGATTCACATAGCAAATTTTAATTTTTCTAATCTAGATATTTCAGTTCGTATAATGTGATTGAGAATGTAAGAATTTGATGATTAGTAATTATAATAAGATTATTTTCTAACCTTAATTAATGAAAGTAATTATACAGAAATTAGCTGGCTTTCTATTAGTTACGTACAGTTTACGAATTAATTATGGCTCATGTAGGACTTAAAGGTGACGAGGGTTTACACATTTTAATCAGATAAGGTCGAGCATCAACATCTTGTTAGGCGGTAATTTTCAAATCCAAGTTTGATGCCACCTGAACCTATTTGCCACTATCCGTCCATTCTAATAAATTTTAGGTTCTACAGTCCTTCATCCACAGTCACAAGTGCTCTTAGCATTAATACTTGGCATTTAGTGAAGTATTGCGGTTGTATTACAATAACATAAATTGAATTTGCTATCTATCGGTGTAAAGTTGAAGAGCTAATTTTGATATCCTCTAGCAATGCTATATTTTTTAATTCATTTTTTTTTAATGAGAGTTTGAATATGCAATTTTCTTTGAAGTACAAAAAATTACTTTTTTTTTAAAGTTTTTACTCGAATATTTTAACTATTTTCAATAAATACGATTTTAAAATTCACTCTGTATATTCAAAGTTTAAAAAAAAATATTATTTTTAAATAAGAAATCGGTGGATGGGCTTGAAAAAAGTTAGCATAATGTACTTAATTTCCTTATTATTATGCCTTTGAATTCCTTTCCAAAGCAAAATTCACAACCATTCATGGGGTTTTAACAAAACATCAATGCATCACCTGCATTTAATTAACAATTTTGTTGAGCTTGACATTACAAGTACTTATAATGCATTATGACATTAATTTGCCCTTGCAGCTGCAAGGCATCACTAGTCTCATTTTTTTTCGTCATAATATGGGTGGTAATGAACAGAAAAATCGGAGGTAAACTAGTTGAACAACCACGAGCATTATCTGCCATATATACATTTCCAAGTGGACATGCGGACACGGGAGTAGGACTGAACATATGGAGAATATTGTCAAATGCTTAAAGTCACTATTGTGTTGAATAAAAAATTACAGTATATATTTTAATGTGAAGTACCTAATATTTTAATTTAACAATTAAAATCAAGATCTACTAGTTAGGAAATTAACTAATATATATCTACATGCATGGCATTCCCCCCCCCCCTCTTTAATGGCTTCCTCATGCATATGTTGAGCAAATAAATACAAATAACACAACAAAACTTTTTTGTCTTTGCTTCAACAATCAAACACAAGCTACAACTAAATACCCAAGCAAAGTAAATAACTAATAATCTGAAAAATAAGCAACCAATCACAATCACACAAAGAACACACAGATTTTTACATGAAAAACCTCCTCAATTTAAAAAGGAAAAAACCACGGGATCGAAGTCCACAATAACTTTCACTATCAACAATAATGAGTACAAAGAGTCCTCTCCAGATTAAATCAGATGAATAATCAGCCACAAACATCAAAGGTTACACACCTTTGGCAAACCACATCAAAAGATGATACACAAAGAAAGTAGAAGAAACCAAGTTTAGATTTCATCGAAATAGCATTGTTACGAGCATAATATCTCGCTCTCCAAGACTCAAAACCGGATCTCCACCTGTCCGGAATGTGCACCGCCTTTCCCGAACGTGCCACCAAATTTGAGCTCGATCCAACGGTTAACGAATCCGTAAACTCAATTTTAGCATGACTAATTTGTGCTGAAATTCTCTTTCCTCTTTCTCTCAAAAGTTGTGGCTCTCACTCCTTTTCTTTTCTTTTTCGCTCTTGCTTCTTCCCTAATCTGATTTTAGAATAAAAAAAAAGAAACTAATTATTTGAAAATACCAAAATTACCCTTTAAGTGATTAAAAAATCCTCTTCCACATGAGCTCCAAGATTGGGCTCATATAGGCAAACCTTTGAGCCATCTTCTAACTAGGAGGGAAACCCAACAAATCTCCCTTTACGACTAGGTGGAGGTATTCGCCATCTCGGTGACTAAACGACAAGCCTCAAGTTTCTCACTTGGTAATGCTTTAGTCAACATATCGGAACCATTATCATCGGTATGAATTTTCTCAAGTTTCAATAACTTACAATTCAAAACATCTCTATTCCAATGGTATCAAAAATCAATGTGTTTTGATCTAGCATGAAATGTAGAATTTTTGCCAAGGTAGATAGCACTCTAACTATCACAAAATAACACATACCTATCTTGCTTGAAGCCGAGTTCCCGAACATATTTCTTCATCCATAACGACTCTTTAAAAGCTTCCGTTGCTCGCAATGAATTCCGTCTCGGTAGTGGAAAGAGCAACACACTTTTGTAGTCTAGATTGCCAAGCCACAACTCTCCCCGCAAAAGTAATCAAATATTCGGATGTTGATTTATGAGAATCAATATCTACCGTCATGTCTAAATCCGTATAAGCAATCAAATCTAATTTTCTAACACCGAACTTTTGCCTTTAAGATATCGCATTATCCACTTTACTCGTATTCTAATGCTCATTTCCTAGATTTGACAAAAATCCACCGACTACCCTAACAACATAAGCAATATCGGGCCTTAGACATACCATGGCATATATCAAACTCTCAACGGATGAAGCATATGGAACTCTCTGCATCTCCTCTTTCTCCTCATCCGTAGAAGGACTCGTTGGATGCTTAGCTTAAAGTGGGTTGCAAGAGGAGAGCTAACCACTTTAGCTTTGTCCATCTTGAATCTTTGAAGTATCTTCTCAATATACTTCTTCTAAGATAACTATAATATTTTAGTTGATCTATCACGTTCAATGCATAAGCTCAAAATTTGCTTTCGTTGGTCCTAAGTTTTTCTTGTCAAAGAACTTGTTCAACTGCTTCTTCGAGTCAGCTATCCTTGAAGCATTCCTGTCAACAATTAAGATATCATTTACATAAAGCAACAATATAATAAATTCATCATTAAAAAATTTTTATACATAAACACAATGATCCGATGTGGTTCTCGTATAGCCTTGCTCCCCATAATTGAGTCAAACTCCTTGTTCCACTCGCCTAGAAGCTTGCTTCAAACCATAAAGACTTTTTTTCAATTTACATATTAGGTTTTCCTTGCCTTTCAACTGAACCCCTCTAGTTGTTCTATGTAGATTTCCTCTTCTAAGTCACCATGTAAAAATGCTTGTCTTGACATCCATTTGTTTAACTTCTAAGTCAAAACTTACGACTAGGCCGAGAACAACTCGAATAAATGACATCTTCACCACTGGAGAAAATATCTCCTTAAAATCAATACCTCTTTTCCGACTAAAACCCTTCACCATTAATCTTGCTTTGAATCTAGGATGTGTGACGTGTTCTTCATGCTTGATTCTAAACACCCACTTATTTTTCAAAGCTCTTCTACCATTGAGTAGTCTTACCAATTCAAAAGTATTGTTCTCATGTAAAGACTTCATCTTATCGTTTATGGCTTCAATCTATTTTTTTTGTTCTCATCTTCATTGCTTCTTTGTAGGATTTAGGTTCTCTATTGTCGATCAACAACACATAATCATCGGTAGAATACCTAGTAGAAGGTCTTCGATCTTTGTTAGATCGTTTGAATGAAGTTTCTAATGGAGCACGTTCATCACCCTATTCAATTATTTGATCTTGTTCATCACTCAATGCATCATCATGAATCCGATCGTTGTCTTGTAGATCATTATCATTTTGTGATCCCCGCTTAGTGTGTGAATCATCTTGCACATCATGTTTAACCGGCTCGACTCATCGGTGTAGAATGAACTAGCTCAATCGGCTTTATATCTACCGGATCATCATAAGACTCGATCACTTGGTCGCTCTATTTTCTTAATATCTTGTATGGTCTAATCCTTCAAAAATACAACATCACGACTTCTAACTATCTTTTTTCAATCTGGATCATACGGTTTGTAGCCAAACTCATCTTGATCATACCTTAAAAAGATACACTATCTTGTCTTCATATCAAGCTTAGATCTCTCATCTTTAGGAACGTACATGAATGCCTTGCACTTAAAAACTTTTAAGTAATCATTGGATACATCTTTGCCACTCC